TTGCGGGGTCTGCTTTAGAGCTCTCCCACGCCAGATCTCGCTCACTATGCTGAGCTGAAACCTCCCAGCCCAGTGAAATGGCTGCTTTCCAACCTGTCGCGTATCAGGGTGAGATACTTTAATATGGACTCTGTAAATGTAGCCTATTGACCGAGGCAGATCTCAGCAGACACAAACTGTTAAAGCCCCCCCGATGAGATGCAGATTGATGCTAGTCCAGAGAACAGCGGGTTGCAGCTTTCGGCCTGGAGAAGCTGCAGTAATACAGGGGAGTTTTGTTGCCGTAACCCCTGGCAAGTGCCTCTTGGGGAAACTGAGGCACGGCAAGGCTGGTCTGCCATCTGGGATAACTTAACTTTTATTGTCTGACACAAGGTAGAGCTATGCGTAGCATATCCATCAGCAGAGGAGCCTGGCATTGAACTCGGGTGTCCCGGATCCTGATCCAGCCCCTGGACAACATACACTCATCACACAGGTGGGCTAGAGCTTGCAAAGTGAAGTCTCGTTGTGGTGGCTTTGAGACGAGGAAGAGAAATATTTGCACGTCTAATGCTAGTTGACTGCTTTAAGCGGTGAGGTGCCCCGCTGTCTTTTGGGCACCTAAGTCTGCTAGTGGCATCCAGTTCAAACTAACCCCATTGGGCACCTGCCAGCTTCCTTCTGTGAGATCTGTGTTGTGCAAACCCCATTTGGGCTCTTAAACCCCCAGCTTTGCGTCCTTCCCATCCTTGAACAAACTCACCAGCCCTGGGGCTCGTGCAGCTGGGACGCATGTTGGCCACGCGCAGAGCAGGAGCAGGCACCGTCTCTCTTCTACCTTCAGTTGATTCCCTGCAAGAGGTGTTGTTTCCATCCAGCTCGCTGGAGTGGGGAAAAAAAACCCTTTACGCTGTCAGTAAAAGTGAGCAGATGTAGCTTGGAGCGGGCAGGGGTTTGTGCCAGTCACGCGGGCGCTGCTCTGCACTGACGAAGGGCTGTGCCAACCCGTCTCAGCAGTGCTCCGGTGCCGTTTTCATGGCAGTGGATGAAGTGTCCGTCCAAGCCTGGCCTGCTGCTCTCGCGTGGGAGACGGTAGCTGCTAATGTGCTTTCCGGGTCGCTTGGCTGCTGCCCAGAAGAGCTGAACGGGCTCCCTCCCTGCCGCGGTGGGTGGCGGAGTAGAACTGACGTCGCCGTAAGGAGACGAGACCGTTATCGAAAGCAGCGTTTTATTGTTGTTTCTTTCATTTCCCTTGATTTGTCCTTTTAAAAAAAAACAAAAAAGGATTTTATAAGCTTGCCCAGTCCCGGCTTCGCAGTGAGAGCTGGCACGGCAGCTGCAGCCCTAAAGCTCTGTTGTGGTGCAGGCTGCTCCAGATATGAGTTTATCTACTACATTTTGGGGTTGGATGCAGCATTTGGAGACTTTTAAGGAGTCTGAGCTTTTATGAGTCCTTTGGCTTGCTGTACCTCACATAAAGCTCAGGAGATTATTTAGGAGGCTACCCAGTAGGGTCATTCCCTATTGACTGCAGCTGTATGCACATGCTCAGCCTGACTTGGGCTTTTATTCAGCAAGCATGTGCTTATCATGATGCCGTGCCAAAATTCAAGCTGAGCTGGCAAATGAGTCAGGTTTGCTTGCTTCCTAGGCTCCATCACCTCCGCGTGTGTAGCAATCTCCATCAAATAGCACGTCAGCCTCAAAACACTCGCTTCTACCCCTGAGCGAACAGGGCGGCTCCGTCAGCGATGGTGGCAGCACCTTCCCATTTCAAACGCCCTCGGTCTGTCCAAGGGTAGAGCGATTCGGGGTCTCTGCAAAGCAGCGGTTTTGAAATGATCACAGGTTTCGGGAACGTCGCTGGTCACTTCACTTTTGCAAAAATCCCTGGCTCTCTTGGCTCCTCTTTCTGGAAGGTCGTGATCTAGAAACAGCAGGTCCCCTCCTGACACTCCTGCTGCTGCGTCCTTTGCATTGCACGCACCAAAGGTCAAACTGAAGGAACCTCGAAGGAACCGTGCAGCCTAAATAGTGGGGTTTTTTGATAGCTGGATGCAAGGGGCAGTACAAATCCACTGCTGAACTGCAGGGTGCGGGACAGAGCGCAATATGCAGCACTAAGGGGCTCACAGACTCAAAAAGCTGCTCTCCAGTTCTGAGACGTTACGTGTGCACCTTTCGTTCACAACTCTGAGTTTTTCTTTTTGGAAAGAGAGCAGCAAGGGAAGCAAGAGCAGTGACTTCTTCACCTCCTGTGTCACCTTTTTTTTTTCCTCACATTTGCAAATTCTTCCTTCATTTGCAAACTCTTCCTTCCCTTTGGGACTGAGGAAGGCCAGTGGGGTCAGCTGCTTAGAGCCGTATGGCTTCTGTCAGTGGTAATACCAGTCCATAGTAATTAATGTAATGCTTACAGAGAAACCTGAAGGCCTCATTCATTTCCCCTGTAATGAGATCTCTCTGCACTTCATATCTGTGGAGGTGGACATAGAAGCCTGAGTTTCCATTGCCCCAGACCTTGGCACGTGGATATAAAATGTGACCTCTCTAGCCTGAGCGCGTTTTACACGGCCTTTCTCTGGTGCAAAGGGTGCAGGGCTGTGGAGAATCAGGCCTCCAGGCTTTCCTTTGGTTGTCTCCAACCTGGATCAGCTCTGTGTAGTGGTGCCCAAATATACTCTTCCTTCTCGCATAGCGGTCGAGGGAACTGGCAAAAGCCCTGCAAAGTTGGACAACTCTAGTCTCACGTACTAACCAAACATAAGCCCAGCCGTGAAAACCTGCACCCTAATATCCTGTCCAGAGGTGCACAACACAGACAGGCTCCTGGCTTGGGCCGGTGCACGTTTAACCTATATCCTGTACCTGAATCGCAGAGATTCGGGTCGGGATCTGGATGCAGTGGTTCGAGCATGGCGTACAGCGCCTAACACCATGGGGCCGTGACCTGAACGAAGCGTCCAGATGGTAGCAAAACACAAATAATAATTATAGAGCTCATGTCCGGTATTAAATGGCATAGGCACATGCAAGCGTGGGTTGGCTATTCAAGGGGTCTTTCGGCGCTTTATAGAGATGGGTTGAAACTGGAACAGCAAAGGTCTCGCTACTGAGGCAGGTGGCTAAGCACAGCAACAGGTCCCCTAGAGAGCTTGTAGTCTCTCCACCCTCGATAGTTTTAGGTGAAAGTTATCCGAGCACTTGGCCAGGGTTGGTCCTGCCGTGAGCAGCGGCTTGGCCTAGATGTCACCTCCTTGAGGTCCCTTCCAGCAAGATTTTTCCGCGATACCAGAGATCTGATTTTCAAACGATCTGAAGACCCCAAGGGCTTGTCAGCAGGGGGATGCTGAGGAGCATGGGCACAAGGGCGTGAAGTCAATGCACAGAAGTGAAAGCACGTGACACTTCCACGGGGAAGATCTTCTATGAGAACAAAGTGGCCTTCACTTGCTGTAGCTCAAGTCTCCTCTGAGCCCCAGATGGGTATTTAGGTGCCTGCAATGGGCACCTGTGTGCTAGTTCCCATGCTGAACAGTGTTCCCTAGCTTTGGGGCTTGCCCTGGAGGGTTGATCCTCAGGAGTGGATCTAGGCAAACACAAGGACCATTATGTAGCTAGTGGTGTGGCTTAGAGGCTGGCCCGAAAGACCCTCCGGCCTGAAGAGCCCCCATCGACTGAAGAGGATGTTGGGCCAGGAGACTCCTTTGGGAAAAGTCCCTTAAAGAGGTTTAGCTTCTGTGTTTGGCATCCTTTGGGAAGGGCAGGAAGAGCTGTTTGAGAGCCCACCCTCTGCCCAAAGCTATGGCAGAGCTATAAGCCCGGTTCCTGGAGCCACGCGGTACTCGTGGTACGTTGTCCCAGCCAGAGCGGCTGTCCTGGCACATGGTCACTCCCAGATCTTCCCCTTGCATGATCTGCCTGCAAGATTAAACCCCTTGGCCCAGCTGATCCACTGAAGCAGGGGAGCTGGGTGGATCCCGTGCGCTCTGCTTGGCATCGGGTAAGGCAGCAAAGGGCTCTGCAGAGAAAAGAGCGATGGAGCCCACGGCGAGCAGCCGTGCGCTTTGGTCCTTGTCAGCCAGGCGTTGCCTCCTGACTGCTGCTCGAGGGGAGCTATGTACAAGGCACGGGGGCCCGTGCGTGCTCCACTCTCCTTGCAGGGCTGGGGGAGGACCGGAGCAGCGGGGAGCGGGATGCATTGGGGCCCAAAGCTGGAACGGGAATGAAAAGAGACCAGGGACCTCCCAGCCCAAAACCTCGTTGTGCCGTCGTCTGATCCAAAATGCTGTGATGGGGCTCTGAAGCAGGACCTGCTACGGCCCGGCGGCTTCCACGCAGGGGTTTCTCTCCACCATCGTATCCTGCTGGTGGTGGGAGGAAGAAACCCTAAAGTTCGAGTACTCGAGACTTGGTTGCTATTGGCAAGTTGGCATTTATACCGTGGCTGGCCAGATGTAAAAGGGTGCCCGGATATTAGTATTTCATCCAAGAGTGACGCACGTTGGTGCAGGGGGATCTTCCAAAGTCCCTTCCGGCCTTACAAGCTATGAATGTATGAGTTCCCCCATCCAACCCGGCTGCATGGCGGGGGTGAGGGATGGTGCGATGGTGCTGGCACTACTGGGTTGTACAGTCCTCCACCTCCAGACGAGCTGTTGTGCAGACCCAGGGGTGCTTGAGAGATGAGCCTCTAGATCCTCCCATTCCCCATCCTCCCTCAAGCCTTAGAAATCCTCGCCCAAGGATCTGTGGCGTTGCGAATGCCTGATCCAGCCCGGCTGCTGCATAGCAAATCAAGCTGTTGCAATTGCTTTTTTTTTTTTTTTTTTTGCGCTTTTTTTTTGTAAAAAAGAAGGAAAGAAATCAAGTCCTACGCCGGTCGCCCTTCCTCCGACACCAGTGCTCCCCTTCCACCTCCTCTGCTAGAACTCTGTGGTGGTGACCTGCGTCACCTCCGAGTGCAGGTCCTCTCCCCTGCGCCCGCGGGAGCCGCGGCGGTGGCTGTCCATGTCTAGTCATGCCGGCTTGTGGAGGGCTTCGGAGGGGGTGCAGGTGGACACGCGCTCCCGGGTGGTGTTCCTCGCCCGGGAAAAGCTGTTCTGCTCCATGCGGGAGCGGAAAGGCAGGCAGAACTCCCGGAAGCATCTCTTGAAGTTCTCGTCCAGGAAGGCGTAAAGGACGGGGTTGAGGCTGCTGTTGGTGTAGCCCAGGGCGATGCAGAAGTGCAAGCTGGCCACCACGTAGGGGTTCTTCTTGTCGATGTCCACCAGGGTCCAGACCATGACGAAGATGTGGATGGGCGTCCAGCAGATGATGAAGGCTGCCACCACCACCAGCACCATGCGGGTGATGCGGCGCAGGTTGCGATCCTTCTCCTTGGAGCCCGAGAGGAGACGCACGCTCTTCAGGCGCAGAATCATGAGCCCGTAGCAGATGGTGATGACCAGGATGGGCACCATGAAGGCAAAGATGAACACGCAGATCTTGGTCACCGTGTCCCAGTACATGGGAGGGTCGGGGAACTGGAGCATGCATAAGACCATCCCGTCTGTAGGGGAGAGAGAAGAGTAGTACCAGCCTGAATCCTGCCTGTTCCTCAGCCATCAGCTCCCTGCCCCGTGCCTCTCAGTGCCTCCTGCCTCCTAAGGAAAGCAGCTGAGGAACCCTGCTATCCCCACTGGTGTCAATACACCGACAAGCTCTGGAGAGTCTAATGCCCTCAGAGCTGCATTTGCCAACCTCTTTGGTGCCAGCCAGCGTTTCTAAAGCACTCACCTCAGTATTTCCTCGGTGCCCTTGGTTTGACTGGAGCCAGGTTAAGGAGCACCTTGGAGATGGAAGGTTGCCCCGGGGCAAGGACGGAGGGCTTTTGTGTCCCGTTGCGGGTGCTACCATGGACTCATTTAAAGTCTGGCAACATGTTAAGCTAACCTTGGGTGCCGAATCAAAGCTAGCCTTGGGGCCCCGAGCTAATCTTGGGTGCAGAAGCAAAGACCCCCAAGCCCAAATGCCTGCTCCAAACTTCAGCACGGTCTCAGTGCAGGTTTTGGAGCTCATGCCACCTCTCACCGTCTGTTTTTCCCCACCCGTAAAATCAGTCTTGCACACTCTATCTATCGTAAGGCTTTGTATTGCACACTGCCCTTGTACGCTTTTGGGGGGCAGGGGCACTGTGGTGTTTTCTGTGCGACGGCTGTGGGGCCTTGAGCGCTGATCTGGGCTTCCAGGTGCTACCGAGATGCGTGCACATGAGTACCTTTTAGCTCATGGCTGCACCGGATAGCTGTGCAGTGATAAAGCTCTTCTGACCAGCTGTTAAAACCAGCCAGTCTGAAGGATCTCTGTGCCTCATTCGGTCTCTGAGACAGCTAGTTATAGCAGGTATTTTTATGGAAATGGGGTACAATATCTTCCTTCCAAACGTGCTCTTATTCTGAATCGACTCAATCCGCATCTGTCCTTACTTTGGAAAATATGCGCTTGATTCTAAGTGATCTTATTCCAGTTCCGAGGTAGATTTAAACTAATTTGAGAAAAGGCCCCAATTATTCCAGGATAAGAGAATCGCAACACAGAGTTAAACTCTGCAGGACTAGTTAATCCGGAGCAACTGCCCCATACAGATGTGCCCAAGGGAAAAGGGCAAGTGGGGAGCCAGTGAAACAGATAAAGCACGGGAAGGATCATGACGGAGCGGTGGGGTGGTTTTGTCGTACGCATGGATTTTGGTCTCCGGGTGTTACTGAGACAGAAAGGCTGCCTGGGATAATTGCCATCCTCGGTATAATGCCTGCTTTGGGTTTGGCAGCCAGACAGGAACCCCCAGAGCCATTTACATCGCTTTAGAGTCTGGAAGCCCCAAACACCATCAAAGAGACCAGGCAACGCTAAAACGCGTCCTGTGATGAGACGGTCCCTCTTCTGAAGACGTCAAGCTAAACAAGCAGACAAGTGCAGCACGTAGCTGTATTCCCATTCCCAGGCAGGGAATTGAGGCACAGCGGGAATCGGAGTCATAGGGAGACTATGGCAGAGCAAAAACTTGTACCTAAATCTTCCATGTCCCACCCAATGGCTTTAATGCCAAGCCCACCCTTCCTGGATGCTGTGTAGGATGGCATCTAAATGCTAGCTCTGCTATGGGAGAGGCGAGTCGGCTTGCTGTAAGCTCAAGGCAACACATAGGGCAGCTGGCAGGACATGCACGGATGCACTTGCCTTTAGACTTTGTGACAGCCATGATCATGATGGGCACCCCAATCACGGAGGAGAGGACCCAGATGCAGACGTTGATGATCTTGGCCTTGGTGGGGGTACGGAAGTCCAGGGCCTTGACCGGGTGGCAGACAGCGATGTAGCGGTCCACGCTCATCATGGTGAGGGTGAAGATGCTGGTGAACATGTTGTAGTAGTCGATGGAGAGGACGACTTTGCAGAGCAGCTCCCCGAAAGGCCAGGTCTCCATCAGGTACTTGGCGCTCTGGAAGGGCAGCGTGCTGGTGGCCAGCGCGTCCGCTAGAGCCAGGTTGAAGATGTAAATGTTGGTGGCTGTTTTCATCTTGGTGTATCTGGGGGAACGACAGCAAAAATGGTTAGATATTAGTCGGGCTTGCGTTGCTGCCAAGTCCGCGCGTGCCGGATCCAACACGGAGGGGCCCTTTCTGTAAGGTGACTATTAGAAGTGGAATGAAAACTTCCCATTTTAAAAGCCCCTTCCCATCCATACAAGGGTCTTTTCATCTTAACTGGAGGTTCCCACGGAGATGGTGTGACACGTCAGTAGGCAAATGCATACAAACCGCGTGTCTCTATTCAGGCCTTGATTCAGCAAAATGCATAAGCACCTGCTTTAAATTTACATACGTGCTTACGTCCCCTGGACCTTGAATGTGTCCTAGGAGCCGCATCCTGTCACGGGCAGGGCGGAGCGCTCTGTAAGCCATAGGACAAGAGGGTACGTAGCATCTTACACACAGATATCACAGCCGATCTTCAACTCTAGTAGATCCTGGGTCAGTTGGGGAAAGGATTTAAACATGTGCCTAATTTTAAGCATCTAGTCCAGCTGAATTGACTTCAGCCATAGACTCGCAGCAAAGTCAGGCTGGAAAGGACCCCAGGAGGTCACGTCTAATCCAGCCCCTGCTCAAGGCAAGACCACCCCTATTTGAAGAACAGTACCAAATCCTCCCCCCACCCCCAATATTTCCTTTTCCAAACTAAATAATCCCTGTTCTTTCAACCTTTTTTCTTCAGTCATGTTCCCCAGACCTCGAATCATTTTTGTTGCTCTCCACCGGACTCTTCCCACCGTGTCCGTGTCTTCCTTGCAGCACAGGGCCCACACCTAGACGCCGTATACCAGGTGAGGCCTCACCAGTGCTGAAGGCGGCACGAGCACCGTTTCCCCTGACTTCGCATTTGTTTTAAGTTTCATTCAATTAATTCAAGGTCGTTTCTCCAGTTTTATCAAGATGCAGGTTTAAAATGAAGCACTTCCTATCCCCCATTAGCTGAACAGGGAGGCATTCATCATTTCTGTAGCTGAGCTGGAGAGAAAAGCTTTAGGTCTGAGGATTCAGAAGAAAGTTGAGGAGATCTCCTGAAAATGCTCCCTTTCAAATGAAATCCATTTTTTTTCCCTCTCTGCTCCACGAGAAGCAGCTGTGCGACCTGCTTCATCTGGCTGTTTTCCTTCCTTTTATCTCTCTCCAATTTTCTACTGGTTTAATCATTATGATCTTTTGCTTTGTTTTCGACCAAGCTGCATACAGAAATCCAGTCCATCACCTCAGGGAACCGACCGACCAGAAATACTTCGATTAAACAATAATTCTTTGCAATTATGTAGCTCCTTTCACCCAGATATATTGCCTGCTTTACTGCAGCCCACAGCATTTTGATGTTAATAATGATTTCCAGTTCGGTAAAGGGAGGCACAGAGGACACCTTTCCTGGACCACTGAAAGCTGGAGTTTCCCAATGCTCAGCAATATCTATTGAGACACTGGTGGACAGATTTTCAGCCCCCAAAATGTCCTGGATAGGCTAGTGCCTCTTGAAAATGTACCCCCTCGATCCTGGAATAGAGTCCAAGGAGTCCTGATTCCCAGCTCCTCTAATCCTTAAATACGCTCTT